CTCTTAACATACAATGCCTCATATGGTGCCATTACGATACTAGAATGATAACTGTTGTTGTAGGTAAAATCAATCAATGAAAATGACTATCTCATGATCCACCTTGATCCAATACATAAGCTCTCAACAAATCCTCTAAAGAATGGATAGTTCTCTCTGTCTGTCCATCCGTCTACATATGATAGGCAGAACTCAACCTTAACTTAGTACCCAAAGTTGTCTGCAAACTCTCCTAGAACCTCGATGTGAATCTCGGATCTCTATCAGACACAATACTTGAAGGAATACCACAATCTCACCAATATACAATTCAGCCAGCTTCTGCAGCGAATAATTGATCCTTATCGGTATGAAATGAGCCGATTTGGTCAATCTATCGACAATAACCCAAATTGAATCATATCCATTCAACGTCTTCGGTAGACCTGTCACAAAATCCATAGAAATACTATCACATTTCCACTCTAGAATATTCAACGGTTGCATCAGACCCAACAGTCTTTGATGTTCAATCTTCGACTTCTGACAAGTCTAACCAGCATACACAAATTCAACCACTTCTTTCTTCATCCCTGGACACCAAAACAATTTCCTCAAATCCTGGTACCTCTTCGTAGCACCAGTATGGATACTCAATTTACTTCGATGTCCTTCCTCAAGAATACTCTTTTTCAACTCAACAATATCTGGAACACAAACTTTATTACGACATCTCAAGATATCATTTTCATTAATCCGAAAATCATCTCGTCGACTTTGATCCATCAAATTCAACCGATCTACCAACTCAAATCAGATTTCTGACCTCCTCGAATCTCATCAAGAATACCACTAGTAAGCTTCAACATACCAAGCTTAACTCCATATGAAGACTCTTCACAAACCAAACTCATATCACAAAATTTCTCAATCAATTCTAACTCTCTTACCATCATCATCGGTATATGCAAAGATTTCCAAATTAATGCATCAGCTACCATGTTTGCTTTACCCGAATGGTAATTCAAACCAAAACCATAATCCTTCAGAAGTCCCAATCATCTCTTCTGCCTCACATTCAATTCTTTCTGATCAAAGAAATACTTCAAACTCTTATGATCACTAAACACCTCAAATCTCGAACCAAACAAATAATGTCTCCAAAGCTTCGACACAAACATAGCAACAACCAACTCTAAATCACGCGTCAGATAATTCCTCTTATGCACTTTAAGTTATCTTGAAGCATAAGCTAAAACTTGTTGGTGTTGCATTAACACACCTCCCAATCCCATCAATGAAGAATCACAATATACAACAATTGTTCTGCCAAATTTGGCAAAATCAAAACATGAGTTGATGTTAGCCTCCTCAAAAGCTCTTGAAACTTTCTTCACACTTTGCATCCAAAACAAAAGCTTGAACCTTCCTAGTCCACTGCGTCAATGGCAAAGATAACTTGGAAAAATCCTTCAATGGATTTTCGATAATAATCTGTCAGCCCAAGAATACTTCTAATCTCAAAAACAGGTTTTGGAGCTTCCCATTGCGATACAGCTTCAACCTTCGACATATCAACCGCAATAACTCTACTCGAGATCACATGACCAAGGAAACTCACTTCCTTCAACCAAAACTCACACTTTGAAAATTTTGTATACAACTGCTTCTCTTTCAATGTTGATAACACAATTTTTCAGATGCTCAGCATGATCCTCTTTACTCTTCGAATATACCAAAATATCATCAATAAACACAACCACAAACTTGCCCAAAAAAGGATGAAAAATATTGTTTGTGTACTCCATAAATACACATGGTGCATTAGTCACACCAAATGGCATCACGAAATACTCATAATGTCCATACCTTGTTTTAGAAGTTGTCTTCGGAATATCATCAGGCTTCACACGAATCTGATGATACCCAAAACTTAAATCTATCTTACTGAATACACTTGCAACAACCAACTGATCCATCAAATCATCAATCCTTAGAAGTAGACACTTATTCTTGATAGTCACCTTGTTCAATTGTCTATAATCCACACAAAGCCTCACAGAACCTTCTTTCTTCTTAATCAACAAAACTGGTGCACCCCATGGTGACACATTCAAACGAATGAATCTCTTCTCAAGCAAATATTCAAGTTGACTCTTCAACTCTTTCAATCCCAATGCAGACATATGATATAAAGTCACCGATATCAGACTAGTTCCAGGAACTAAGTCGATCGCAAACTCCACTTCACATTCAGGCGATAAATCACTTATCTCATTAGGAAAAACTTCCGGAAAATCACAAATAATTGGCACACCACCAACTTCCCCACTTTATTAATACTCAAAGTTTCCATCAAAATAAACGTCTCAGCACCATCCTGCACCGAATCACCAAAACAATCTGTAAGCACTTAGCTTAACTCAAAATAATTCACTGCACACGCCATCTAAGCTTGCAAGACACGTCTATCCCATCCAACATGACTCTGTCTACTATTAACAAGAGATTAAGGGTGATCCGTTCCTCAATTTGTCAATAGACAACCGAAAATCATGATGGGGCATAAACCATCTTTAACAAACTATAAGAGCGTTCATCAACACACTAAGCCACCACTTCACACTTGAAGCATCCTGGAGAAGCACAAGCTCCCCCCACTTGTTTCATTCCCACTTCTGTAGACAAAGGTTAGAAAACAAACGTGTATCGACAGTGTTTTCACACACCTGTCGCATACTAGGGAACAATTAGCATTAGACAACTTGGTCGGACGGACCGACCTGCTCTGATACCACTAATGTAACACCCTTTTTCTACCCCACGAATATTATGGCAAAATAATAGAATTTATCAGAGTAAAATTTTAAACACCATAAAAATCACCTCAAAGGGCGTACATTTTTCAATAAATTCAAATCAAGGTCAATACTCCGTAAGCAACATGTTTTCTCAAAATTACTCAAAAGTGCTCAAATGGCAGCGGAACTCAAAAAGGCAAAAATCCAAAGTTTTCCTTTATCTGAAATCAGCCTCAAACCCTTTAAACCCTTAAATCAACTTTAAATACATTGAATCACATGTTGAAAACAATGAAGACAATACTCTCCATACCTTAATTGCCGACTCTAAGCCTTTCTCCTTGATTCTTGAAAACCTCGCGAAGCTTTTGCCTCAATCCTCTTCCTCAGAGCTCTGGCCTCTATTTCTTCCCTTTTCACGCTCTAACAAGAATGAATTCTAATTCTCTCAAAATTCTTTTTTGTTAAACCTAACTTTGGGACTATAGATTGGGCTTTTCAAATATTACCCTCACTAACACCTCCTTAATTGTCCAATTTTCCCTTAGTTAACTTATATTTATTTAAATTAATAATAATACCAATATATTCATATTATATACTATTATTTAAATAAATAACCTAAAATTCATAATTCTCAATATTTCATACCAACCACCGAAAATCACCAAAAATACGAATATTTATATTTAAATAAATTAAATAAGTATTCCCGGATGAGAGACGTAAGTCTTGAATTGACGTTAACAATCGATGTCGATCTTGAATTAGAGTTGCTAATCTTTGATACAGATTATAAGAGGGGGTACCTGCATGGTTAGCATTCCAACACCCAAATAAGTTTAGGGTTCAAGATAATTGTAATGACAGTAGAGATTAGAGATTGTGTACCCGAAACCCTTTGTGAATTTATTTATACATTAGGCTTAATGGAGCAAGTCAGATAAATGAGCCTCGTGTTATTGGACATTTGGTCTGCACGAAGCGTTGTGTCCTTGGGACTTTGTCCGGAACAAAACAATTATTAACTTGCATTAGAAATAATATAATGTCATAAAACAATGTTTTTCAGAAGTTCTTCATTTAGTCATCCAACCTCTCATGAAACATGCATTTCAAAATTTGTGAACCATTTGAATGAATTTTGTTAGACGACAAACAAAAAGATAAGTTAGGGAGAATTGATAAATGGAAAAATTATGTAAAATAGTAGGCACTTATTAACTTATTTTATAAGTAATCAATAGTAAACCCCCTAAATTATCAATGAAAAGTGATAAAATACATGTTTGGGCATTTTAACTGCACATTAACTAAAAACGGATAAAAAGAACTGAAACACCACCACACAACACACAAACACCTTGCCAAGACACTTTTCTACAAGAAAGTCTTGCTAAGACAAGATTATAGACACGTTTAGCAAGCACAAGTGACCATGAAGACTTCATGGCACTAGTGGAAAAAAGGCTTTTTAAGTCGGGTAAAAATGACTTTTTAAGTCGGGCCCGAGCCCGACCTAAGAATTACCGACATAAGAAGTTTTGACTTCTTAAGTCGGTTGTGGACCTGACTTAACAAACTATTATTAGGCCGGTTAGGCAGAACCCGATAAGTATAGCCTGCAGAAACCATTTATACCCGACCTAAGAACTTACTTTCTTAAATCGGGTATAACTAACCGACCTAAGAAGTTGTTTTTTTTTGGATAATCACACAAATCAGATGCAGTTTTCCCATTTAACAATTTATCCCCAAATCAGGCTATCCAACTCAATCAATAAATTACACCCAAAATTATTAGAAAATTAACTCTTCTTTTCATTATCACAAAATTATGTAGAACCAAGTATATTAACACAAGTATATATCACAAAATTATCACAATGCATGTTAATTCTAAAGCACCAAGTATATTAACACAATGCATGTTAATTCTAAAGCACCAAGTATATATCAGAAAATTATCACAAAATTATCAGAAAACAGCAGCAGAACTAACTCTTCTTTTCATTATCACAAAATTATGTAGAACCATATTAATATGGCACTAACATCCAAAGGCAGATAGCATATAACAACTCAATATTAAACAGATATAAAGCCATTAATACTGATGTAACTTGTTTCTACTGTGAAACCTACAACTTGTTCCAAAGATTAGCCTAATACAAGTATAGACACCAATTCTAACAAATAGTGAGGGAAAGCCAAATACAATCACATAAATATAGAAGCAGCTGCACTTTTTTCCTTAGTTAAATCAGGTACCAACGATCCAGATTGAGAAAGTTCTATAGCTGCCATGCTTAAAGCAAAAAAGACCTGCAAATCATGAAGCAGGAAATAATTCAATGCTAGAAAAATTAATTCTTATAATACCGATTTAGGAGAGTAACTTACACGGAAAACATCTGAGAATGAAGATTTTCCATCCTCAACGAGACACGCTCCAGCATAAAAATTGCATGCATAAACTGCATACAACACGAGGAATGATACTCCGAAACCAAATCCGCTTACTATCCCTCGCCTTATGCCTGTCTTAATCGGTCCTTCGCATTTTTGCTTATACAATTCCATCACCTTCTCTTCAGAACAGAAAGAAGCAACTAACAATTGAACCATCCAAAAAAAAGTTAAATAAAGAAAATCAAGTAACCAATTCCAAGAACAAAGACTAATCAAAACAACTTAATTAAGAAAACATAAGTTGAATAAAGAAAACCATGTACTAGTACTAATTATTATATTGCAAATGATAACCAAAAACATGTACTAGTACTAAATTATCATATAAGAAGCAACATAAGAATGTTATATTTGAAAAATCTCCCAACTAAAACATATTAAAATCATTGAAAATCAATACTCTATTGTAAACAAAAAAATCCAAAATCCTAACCAAATACGGTGATGTGTTTTAATCTAACACTTGATTTCCTTCAATCCATAGGCAAATTTGATAAAAGTTGGATCAGTGGCGCCATCTTTGTAATAAGCAAAAACCAAACTTCCATCATCATGCATGCTTTCACCAACAAAACTGCACACATATTGAGAATTACAATATTAGTAACTATAATTTATGCACAAAGAACAACCAAAATAGATAATATAATTGTAAAGCACATACAATTGGAGATCCTTGAGTTTTGGTAGCAGAAACTTAGTTGCTCCTTCAATGTGCTTCTTGAAAATATCTTGCTTCTCTGCCTCTAACTTAGGTGTAAGCAATTTGATGTATCTTTTCATAAAAGTAACAAACTGCTTCTTATCAAAAGCAGGTTGTTCCTGTAATCTGAAAGTGTCGACAATATCGACGACCTTAACAACTTGATCATCAACACCTTCATTGTCACCTCCACCCTCAGCAGAAGGGTTAGCACCAATATCAACATCGACAGCTCCTTAAACAACCCACTTTCCTTTGACTTCCCACAGTAAGCCATTCTCAATTTCCTTATAGGGGAATGAGTCAGATAGGAGTTCATCACCTACATATTCATCCACAAAGTAAAGTTCATAAATAATGTTTGAAAATATAATCATAAAATAACTCTCGTCAAAAGCAGCTGATGACGAGAAAACGCATCGATTATATCGCTAGATTTCATTGACTTTTATCGCGCATTCACCGTTTTAAACGCTCGATTTCTCGAGTTTTTCTTACTATTTTGCAGGTACATCGTTATGTGAGGCCAAATCATGAATTAAGAAGAAAAGAACGAAAGAAACCACAAGAAATGAAGCAGGACAGAATCCTGCAGAAAGTCTGCATAATTTGTTACGACCACGGTCGTTACAAGGGTGTCACGACCGTGACACCTTACTTTGGGCCATCACGACCGTGAGGAAGTAGTCACGACCGTGACACTTGAAATCATCAAATAACGAGCGTGAAGACCTTGTCACGCCCGTGACAAGGATATAACTTGATTTTGACTCAGACTACGTCAAGCCACCACTGAAGACCACTCCTCCTAGTAATTCTCCTCAAGGCAGCACGTGAGGACGACTTCTCCCATTTTCTGCTGCCACTTCCCAACATTTTCTCAACCACTCCAGCAAAGCCCAAGAAGCAAAAGACCAAGGCACCAGCCCATTGGAAGCTCTATAAATAGGACCAGCTCAGGAGAACTCAGGACAGACTTCATTATCCAAATTTCCTGCGGAAGCTCTGCCGAATTACCTTACCACCAGAATTATTATTCCAGCACTATTTTATTTCCTGTCTTATTTTATTTGTATCCAAACCAACCGTGTAACAATTTCCAACATTAGGGAATTGTTATACTTTTATTTGTTTCCAGCCTCAGCATTCGTTTTAATTTTTATTTCCGCCTACTCCAAGCCTTCCGGTCTGTGGAAGAAGGAGTCTACTCAGATATTTGTTAATCAGGTTTTTCAATTATTACAATTTAATTTATTTATAATGTCTATTTATTTTCCTGCCATTAGTAAGTCAATAATTAACTCTGAGTCTGATTTAACCTCGATGAGTAGCTAAATACCTTAGGGCGGTATGTAGTTATAACCAACTTAACCGGTAAAATATAACCATGGGCTAAAATAATTAATCGCTTAACATTCTGGCTGATGCTTTTTAATTGAATTCGACCTTTTCGTTACGAGAGTAAGAAAAGGGTATTAGGTTGGGTCAAGACCACGAGAGTGTGAGATTTTAACCAGATAGCTAAAGTTAGGCATTTAAATTAAATACAGCGAGAGCGCTTTAAGATAAATTAGAATTATTTAGTTTCCAAAAATTACCTCTAAACACTTATGGGCTAGCGAGAGCAGGCATAGGGCTTTAGGGATAAGATCTGATTCAAGACCACGAGAGTGTGAGTTGAGGATATTCAAACTAGTAATCTCTACCGAATAGATTAAGTGAACATCTTTATAAGCCTAGGTTAGATCGACCCACCTAAGTTAGTATAATTACATACCGACCGTTTTAGTATTATTTTATTAAAAAACTTAAATTTAATTCCGCCTTCAATAGTCTTAGAAAACCAACAACAATCGTGACAACTCTTCGCCTTAGCTAAACTAGAAGTTCATCTAGCACTAAGTAACGATAGAATCCCTGTGGATCGATAATCTTAAATATTACTTCGATAGGCTGTGCACTTGCAGTAAGATACCGCTAGACGCATAAGTAGACACGTCTTTAGCCCATCAAGTTTTTGGCGCCGTTGCCGGGGATTCCTTAATTTAGTTACTAGTGCACTTAGGTAGCATTGTCTAGACTAAGGTATCAACTATTTAATTTAATCTAATCTCCGAGTGTATGCCACGTACTCGCTCAAAAAGCGAAGACTTGCAACCTCTAATCCCTGAATCGGAACGCTTCTTACACGTAAGAAGACGTATACTCGATTTCGAAAATAATTCCAACATTCCAGATCTTCAATTAGATCCACCTGAACCAGTCGTAAAATCAGAAAACGCAGGAATGGCTGAAGAACAAACTCATCCACTCAAGTATTACGCTAATCCCTCGCAAGGTGAACCGCATTCAAGCATTGCAGCACCGGCTATCAACCGAAATGATTTCGAACTAAAACCATCATTGATATCGGCCGTGCAACAAAATCAATTCGCCGGAAATCCTACCGAGGACCTAAATCTTCATCTTTCGATCTTTGTGCAATATGCAGATACCGTAAAAGCCAATGGAGTTACCCAAGAAGCTATTAGATTACGTTTATTTCCTTTTTCGCTTCGAGACAGAGCAAGAGCATGGCTTCAATCTCTGCCTTCGAACTCAGTAACTACATGGGAACAACTTAAGAAAGTTTTCTTGAACAGGTATTTTCCACCTAGCAAGACAGCTATGCTGAGAGCTCAGATCAACGGATTTAAGCAAAGAGAAAGTGAATCATTATTCGAAGCTTGGGAACGCTATAAGGATCTACTTAGGCTTTGTCCACATCATGGATTAGTAGAATGGATGGTCATCCATACCTTCTATAATGGACTCTTGTACAATACAAGAATGACAATTGACGCTGCCGCGGGTGGTGCATTGATGGACAAAGAATATAATGATGCCTATGCACTTATCGAAAGTATGGCTCAGAATCATTACCTCTGGGGAAGCGAGAGAGTCGCAACTGAGAAACCAACAAAGGGAGGTATGTACGAAGTAAGTAGTATGGACCAAGTCAATGCGAAGTTTGACCAACTAAGCCAAAAGATCGACAACTTGGCCATAACACCTGCAGCCACCGTGGCTGCAGTAACACCTAACTGTGAGTTATGTGGAGTCCCAGGACACGAAGTCTCTGATTGTCAACTATTGGCAGGAACTCCCACTGATCAAGTGAATTATGCTCAAGGAAACCCTTACTCAAACACATACAACCCAGGTTGGAAGAATCATCCGAATTTCTCCTATAAGAATAACAATGCTTATTACGCACCAGGTCAAGCACCAGCTACATCACCAGGATATCAAAAGACTGCTCCTAATATCCCTAGAAAATAGAACCTTGAATTGATGATGGAGAGCTTTATAGCTAGCCAATCTCAGACAAACAAGGACTTCCTAAACCAAAACATTCACACTAGCGAGCAGATTAAACAATTAGTGAGCAAAGTAGATGCATTAGCTACCCATAACAAAATGCTTGAAACTCAGATTTCACAAGTAGCTCAACAACAAGCGCCTACTGCTGCACCAGCTGGAGTATTCCCTGGACAACCTCAACCTAATCCGAAAGGACATGCTAACGCTGTAATATTAAGAAGTGGCAAGGAACTTGACGGACCTACCGATCCAAGACCTGACAATCCAGCCATGTACCAAAAACCGGATAAACCGACTGAAGTGGTGAATGATCCAGAAGAAAAGGAAGATGAAAGTCAAGAGGTAGTGGAGAAAGAACAACCTTATGTGCCTCCACCACCCTATAAACCACCAATTCCGTACCCTCAAAGATTAATAAGTTCCAAGACGACGGGTCAATTTAAGAAATTTGTCGAACTTCTGAAACAGTTGAATATTACCATTCCGTTTACAGAAGCAATTACCCAAATACCCTCGTATGCCAAGTTTTTAAAAGAAATCTTATCCAATAAGAAAAAGATAGAGGATAATGGAACAGTTACACTTACTGCCGAGTGTAGCGCCATAATTCAAAATAATATGCCTCCTAAGCTAAAAGATCCAGGAAGTTTCTCTATACCCTGTGTAATAGGAAAATTCGTCATTGACAAAGCTCTATGCGATTTAGGAGCCAGTATCAGTGTTATGCCCTTAACGATTTGCAAAAGGCTAGACATGGGAGACCTAAGACCAACTAAAATGTCTGTTCAACTAGCCGATCGCTCTGTTAAATATCCTGTAGGCATACTAGAAAACGTCCCAGTACGTATAGGACAATTCTACATTCCTACTAATTTTATAATCATGGACATCTCTGAAGACTCCACTACACCTATCATACTAGGAAGACCATTCTTAGCTACCGCCGGAGCTATAATAGACGTAAAAAGAGGAAAGCTAACCTTTGAAGTAGGTGAAGAGAAAGTCGAATTTGTTTTAACACAATTCTTACAATCACCAGCTATAGAGGATACATGCTATCTAATGGACGTAATTGACGAATGTGTAAGAG